AATAAATTTTCTTTTGTTCTGATCACACAGGTGTTCCTGTGACAGATACACAACACGTAGAGGAAAGAGATCTAACGTGAGGGACCCCTTTAAACATGGCAGAACTCAGAGAGCAGAGGCCTGATGCACTTAATTTCCACTCATTTAATTGCAGGGACAGAGGGTCTAGTGGTTAGAGCAGAGAGGGGCTGGAAGTCAGCACTCCTGGGTTCTCTCCCCAGTTCTGGGAGGGGAGCGGGGGCTGCTGAGTTAGCCTCCTCTTGCTCTTTTACAGCACTCAGGCAGGAAAGTTACCAGTACATTTCACAGTTAGTTTCCTTCCCCTTGGGCATCCTGCATCAATCCGGAAGCTATCAGCTTTGTAGTGGAATGGGGGAGGAGGGTCAACCCCAAAAGCCACTTGAGGTTTTCTACTTGCTTTATGGGTTGTTGGATTTTTGCTTCTTTTGAAGACCTAGACATCACCTGCCTGAGGACTAGCCAGGTTCTCTTGATGGGCTCCAGGCAGCCACAGGCATGGAAGGGAGAGTTAAACAACAGTTTCCAGAACAGATTGGGAGATGCAGGACTCCAGAGTTTGGCACGACTTAGGGGCTACACTAAAGGCAACAAGCTGTGCCCAGATTGGAAGGGGGCATTAAAGCTATAGCCCCAACCCCCTTCCCAAAAGGGTGTGATGCTGGGTATGTGGGGCATCTTATATGCACAAGCTACGCACTATGGTCCCCCTCAGACACCTTCAAGTCATCATTAACCCCTAACCATAGGGACCCCCCCCAAGACTACTCCTAGGGGCCAGTCACCCTTAGAACCTCCTTGACTACCTCCCCTCTTACCCTCTACCTGTGCCTTAACTACCTCCCTGTCTTAAATACTCTTTGCCTCCCCAAAGCTCCCCACCCAGCCCCACCTTCGTCCAGCTCTCCGCACATGCCAGCTCCCTAGAACCTCCCACAATCAGTACCAGGCACCCTCCTAATCCTCCAGACTCCCTCTACCAGCCACCTAGTTGCCATCCCAGATCTTGCACTCTCCCCAACTAGGAATTTAAATATCAGTTAATTAAATAGCTGAGTAACCTCATGAATTCTTATCTGTTAGTTGACTATTCTATGGCTCTGCCCCCAGAGACTGGCAGCCAGTGCGCTCCAGCCTCATTCCTGAGAAAATCCCTGCCACTCCGCGCTACTGCCACTGTATCCGAGACAGAAGCATGGGGTACCAGGTGGGAGCTGATCCACAAGAGGAGCTAGTTTAAAAACCAGCTCCCCATAACCTTGTGCTGCTGCCTCTGACAAAGGCAGTGGCGCAGGGTGCCAGCAGCCTCTGTCTAGGGATTGGTCTGAGCACTGGACCCAGCGCAAGCCAGAACTTAGCTGGGCTGCCTGCCCTCCCGGCTCCTAATACACTTAAAATACAGAGCCGGAGTGGGGGTAGGTCCCAGACCCTTCACAAGTCAGAACTGAGCCAGGCTGCTGGCCGCAGGGGGCGGGGCAGGAGAAATGCATGTAGTTATAGCAATCAACCTATAAGATTTTGCTTATCGGTTAACTGAGTACACTTTTATATCCATATCCCCAACAGCCCCCAAAATCCTATGCCAGCTCCCCAAGTCCTTCCTAGCCCTGCCCCATTACACTCCCAACCTCACAGCCTCCCCATTCCCTTTCCAACCTCTCTTGCAACTAGCCCTCCAGTTCCCCCACTTGTCCCTCTAGGCCCTTTACAAGTCACCCCAGCCCTACTATTTAGCTGTCTGCCCAGTTGCCCCCCAGGGGCCCAGTTGCCCCAACCCAACACCCTGAGCCTCCATAGCCCCCTTACAATCCAAAGCCCCCCCACCCCAGCCCATTTCCTCTACTGCCAAATCCCACCAAGTTCCCTCCACCTCACTCCCCCACTCTCCAGAGGCCCATTCCCACCCAGCTCCCTAGGCTCTGCCTCCG